AAGTAATAAATGTATTAAGTTTTAATTATCCGTGTTCGGATAACGAAACAGTAATTTCATCCTTCAGAGACTTAATAAATTTTAGATTCCTAATCAATGGTTTGTTTGATTTAAATGTAATTTAAACAGACGTAAGAATAGAATAATGACTGTAAATGTAGACAAATTGAAACGCATCTCTCTGCAAAGTTTGTAGATATTCCCAACAGGTCTTTGAAGCCTACCTAATGAATTAGTTTTACCATATTATGTTATATACAATATTATATTATTATATTAATATATTTCTATTACTATGGCGCAGTACTAATTTTATATTTTAGGACTTTAAACATGAAGAGTTTAGCATCATTAAGAATGGCCTTCTCTATCGGATTATTTCAAAGAGTATTTTATACAATTTTACATTTTGCGAACAATCAAATTAACATCTACTTAGATTGCAAGATTTATATATAATCATTAAAGGCTACTTCCTCTCACAAAAGTGAATGGAAGCTATTAAATTCTTGTCGAAAAAATAGAAGAAAAAGCAAATTTAACTTAAATAACTTATTTAATATTATTTGAAACGTGTTAATTAGCCATTTTCGTTTTTTTTTACTATTCTTTTATTGTGATGAAATCATAAAAAATCTATTGCCGTTTTACATATACAAGCGAAAATAAAGATCGACTACTAGTAAATTGGTTATTTCGATATAAATGTATTAATAGTGCTTTTACTATTTACTACTTTTACTATAAAGTAGTAAGATATAATATAATAATTTATATCTTATAATATATAAGATATAAAAATACATTTTATTATGGAGTATAATTTTTAAGCATAATTTCAAGTATATAAGTAAAATATATATACGTTTATATATGCAATATTAATTTATTTATATAATAAATTTATATATAAATAAATAAATAAATATATATATAAATAAATAAATAAATATATAATAAATCAATATATACATAAATAAATATATAAATTATACATAAGAAAGAATAATATAAAAAGTTTACAACGTATAATGCCTCTACAAACAGAATAGATTAAAAACTAAACAGTTAAAAATATAAAAATATAACTAATTCAATTATTCTACAGCTGGTTTATTATAACTCTATTAAGTGCCATACCCTGAGAGTAAGAGTTGGTGACATCGCGATTAATTGAGAGGACAAAATTAAATACTTAGGAATCACGTTTGATAAGCGGTTTACTTGGCACAAGCACATACAAGTCAAAAGAAGTAGTTACGCAAAAATACTGCACTGCTTACAACCACTTTTCAAACACAACAACCTTAGCGCAAAGAACAGAAAGCTGATCTATAGCCAGATAATTAGACCAGCAATACTTTATAGGTGTGTCGCATATAGCAAAGCTGCCAACTCTACTATCCAAAAGCTACAAGTTGCTCAAAGTCAGGCTCTCCGAAGGCTCTTCAAAGTGCCATGGTACATTCGCACGAATGACATGCTAAGAGACCTTAAAATAGATCCGGTCAAAAAATACATAAGGGACAGAGCTCTACTTACCACTATCTAATCTCAGAGTAGTTACTAACTGCACGGGGCGTTACACAGGTCTAAGATCAAACATTGAATAATCACGAAGATTATGAGGAATACTCAAAGTAGTCAGTGAAATGTGTGGAACTCTGCAAAAATCCCCCAGCCATCATAGAGTAAAAGTGCTCAGATGCACTAACTCGGAAAAGGCTCAACTTAAATAATTTCGTTCTAATACAAACAAAGCAAGTGAATTTGAAAATAAAACTTTCACAGCAAATTAACAAAACTCCCGAAAAATGTGCCAACATAAAAGTCAAGTAGTACGGGTTTGGGTCAGTTGGTTAGGGAGCTCTGACTTTGAGCTTCAAATTTGGCAGGGCACGAGTAAGAATCTTGGAACTTGTAGTCTCAAAAAATAATTAAATATAAGAATTATTACCAAGACCACTGTTGATGGGTATTTAGCAATATTCAAAAGAGCTCTATGGTCAGCAAAAATTCAATTAATTAAAAAAATTACTACTAATAAAAATAAATAAATTAATTAAATGAAAAAATAAGTTAATATAGAACGAAGATTGATTGAGGTTGGTAGGTATGAAGTTAATCATAATAAGAAGAACTGATTTGGGAAGTCTTTTAGGTTGTTTATCTAATTTAGTTCAGCAAGTCATTTCCTTTATATGCAATAAAATAATTTTATTAATAATACTAATAATTATAGTTGGAAAATGTAAAAAGTGATTTTATAATATTGTACAAGGAAAAACATTACAAAACCAAAATGCGTGTCTGTATCGCATTAATTTTGCAGTTTGGCAAATTGCAATAAAAAAATTATAAAAATTTATTGTAAAAAAAATATTATTACTATAAAATGCGTTAAATTAATATATGTATATTAAAAATTTGTTGTATAAATGCTTTCACTCTATCAAAGGCAGTTTTTAAAGTAAACGAACATAGATTAAGACTAAGACCGCAATAAATTTGAATGTCTACACCTACAAAAAACTAATCAATCCGCGTTTAACAAATCTACAAAGCGGCGAAGAAAACTGCATATAGATACTTTCGCTTGCGAAATCTTAAGCGTAAAGTAGACGTAGACGGACGGTTAGACAGATATGTAGAAAGAAATACAGATAGTCGGAACCGATTAATGAGTAAAAAATTTGCATACCAAAATCCATTAAAGCAAACTTTGCATATGTATCTTGTCTGTATGGTACGAGTATAAGTCAAAAAGTATTTAAAAATGTATTAGACATGTTGTGTTGAGTTATTGAATTAAAATTCAATTCCAATTGCAAAGTATTCACAAGATATTGGAGTGACAGCACGTTGTAGATACTTTCTGAATGGCGTATAACGCATACCAAAAATTTGAAGCATTTTACACATTTTACACATTTTACACATTTTACAACAAAAGTGTGCAACAAATTAAAATGTAATAAAATCCAAAATAAATGAAATAAAATCACGCTTTTTATTATTGTTGGCTTTTTCTTTGGTTCGATGTAAACCTCATGAAATCACACGCTACAATACTTCAAACGCATTATTGCTATAAAAAATCCAAACTAAAAATATTGTAAATGAAACTGGAAATAGATACTCACCTCTATTCAGAGTGTGGAAAAATATGCGATTGTGTCACATTGGCGCTTCTTTCTAGCGGTAGGAGCAACGCAAGCGTCACCGTATACATATCACGCGACTTGCAAGTTGACAATGTGTCGCGCTAGACAATCTTTTGTTTTCTTTTTTAGATTGGAACGGTAGCGGAGTGTACTAATTAGATGACAACTTATTAAGTTTTAGTTTAAAATATTCAGTGGATAACATAAAGCCACGTTTTTATATAATAAAAATCTGGTGGTCTGGAACTGGAACCATTAATGAATCGAGTACTTTAATGTTAAAATAATAGTTTAAGATATTCAGTGGATAACATCAATTGCTACAATGATAAAGCCACGTTTTGATATAATAAAAATCTGGTGGTCTGGAACTGGAACCTTTAATGAATCGAGTACTTTAATGTTACATGAATAGTTTAAGATATTCAGTGGATAACATCATTTTTTACAATGATAAAGCCACGTATTGATTTAATATGAAAATCTGGTGTTCTGGAACTGGAACCATTAGTAGTGTACACCTAAGGATAACACAACGCAACATATTCTATTCAATACGTGTTGAAAATGTTGACATGTTGAAAAACAAATACGATAGATTAAAATACTCCACAAACCGACTAGTGTTATAATACATGTAGACGTGGAATTAAATCCACAAAACCGTCGGTGTGAGATAATGACATAAATAAAACTAATCATAAGAGAAACAGAGAGGTCTTTCTGAGAAATGACAGCAACAGAAAAATGGGCGTCTCTTTGATTTATTTTATTTAACATGTTTTAATAATAATATTGAAAGTGTCGACATTATAAAATGAAACTATTTATTAGAAGATTTTTAATTTTTAATAAAATGATTGAAAAAATTTAATTATGAGATGAACGTCTTCTCCACACAAACTGGTTCAAATGTACGTGTTAAAATAATTGCCAACTGTCAGGAACTATCAACATTAAAAAGAACGTAACAAAATAAAATTCAATAAATAGCCAAAGTGTCAGTTAACTGCATCAATAAAAATATAGAAAAAAAACATGAAAGTGCCAATTACTTGTAGCAAAAAAAAAAAACTGAACACTAAGAAAATAATTTTATTAAACATTTTTTTAGGAAATGTTTGCATAAAGATTTTTAATGTTAAAATCTTCAGACAATACTCAGGCAATTGTCTTAGCTGGAAGACAGAAGAAGATTGAAAGAGTCACTAATCTGTCGGCGTATCTACTCATGAGATATTATTCCATCTTGGTAGCAATTGGTGAACTTCTTCATTTTGGAAATATTTTCTAGTGTTGCCATATTTTGGAACTTATAGGTATTTACAGCTGTTGTAAATTATCTTGTGTAGTGCTACAATGACTGCTGAGTTATTTAATGTAATACTGTACTTTTTACTTTCCAGAACTTAATAGCTCTTTAGAACTATTAAGGATATTACAATCAGATCCAAGAAACTTATATAATCTTATTGTTCCATAATCTTATCATTTGTTGTAAAACTTAAATGTTATTTGTGTAAAATTTTGCTTTGTTTTACTTAATGCGCTACTGTAGCTGCATTCGGAAACCGCAGTAAAATTGTCTAAGATGAATTTAAAATTTATTTATAAAAAACTATGTTAATTGCTTTGCGAACAATTACAACTTCTGTTGTGTCACGTAGGGTCGACATTTTTTTTACTTTTGGAGGCTGATATGACATGTACATAAACTTAAAATCGTTGGCACAACATGACATGACACCATAAAGTATACGCATTCAACTTAATTTATATTAATTTTTGTATTTCTAAAAATAAATTTAATAAAAATATTGACTTCTTTCTTTATAGGGTATAATGCTTGCGTTTTTGCTTATGGACAGACTGGTTCTGGTAAGACATTTACAATGATGGGCACTCCTGATAATCCCGGTCTCATACCGCGCATTTGTCAAGAGCTATTTGCGCGTATGCGTGTTGGTCAAGAGTCTGGCACTGGTTATAAAACACATGCGAGCTATCTGGAAATCTATAACGAACGCGTAAAAGACTTACTTGGACCACAAACCACTGGACATGGTTTACGCGTACGTGAACATCGTACACTGGGTCCATACGTGGAGAATCTATCACAGCATGCTGTATCCGATTTTGATGAAATTCAGGTATACAATAGCGTTGCATAACTTATTTATTTGTCTAAATTAATAAGTGTAATATATTTATTTTTTGTTTAATTTTTAGGAATGTATTACGCGTGGCAATATGCAGCGTACAACTGCCAGTACTAATATGAACGATACCAGCAGTCGCAGTCATGCCATCTTTACGATAACATTTGTGCAGGCTGTCTTCATGAATGACATGCCAAGCGAAACTGTTTCTAAAATACATTTGGTGGATTTGGCGGGAAGGTTTGTTGTTCGTTCCATTTCGTTACGTTTTGACATCGTTCAACAATGAAACAATTAATATGTATAAGATTAACAAAAAAAAATTATAATTTTGAATAAGTAAATCTAAGATTGAGGTAGTCTTGTTCTGCATACTAACAAAGTCAAATAACTGTTAACAAAAAGACGGTTAAGATTTACGGTTGGATAGATAAAGATCGCTTTAAATACCTAAATACCATATATAAAATATTTACGATTAAGACTGTAAGCTCAAGTGATGAATGAGTTTAATAGTCTGAGCAGTGAATCTGAGAATATGATTAAGATATAAAATCGATTGCTAAGAGCTTGGTTGTATTTTACATTCTTGTTTTTTTAGTTACCAGGAAACTATACTTTGTTTATTCTATATGTCAATATTCAATACAACAGTTCAAAATGTAGTGTAGACCATATCTAATCTCCTAAAGAAATATTTTTAATGCCAACAACAAATTTAGAAATATTCCAATTGCTGCTTACACCTCATGGCGTCGCCTCTCTTCTTTCTTGTCCAAATTCACACAATAATTTATGACCTATTGGATTATTGTGCCTTCTAATTGGAATGGTTGAATTCTTTCACCTTAATCCAGGTTTTAATAAGCAAATACTTATATATTCTCATTCCACTAATATTACAAACAGACCTATCTTCTCTTATTTGATCTATCTTCTGATACCTCATTCCAACCCATGTAAACCCATATGTTGTAAGCCCATATCTTGTAGTTCTTTTATATTTTTCGCAATTAAGACTGCAGTCATAATTCTAATTTTGATACCTCATTCCAACCCATGTAAGCCCATATCTTGTAAGCTCATATCTTGTAAGCCCGTATTTTGTAAACTCATGTCTTGTAAGCTCATATTTTGTAATCCATTTATATTTCTTGCTATTAAGACTGCAGTCATAACTCTAATATTTATAGGTGTGTCTACATATCATCGCCTGTTAACTTTATATAACTTAGCTCAAATAAAAAGCTCCTTAAAATAAGTTAATTTCTTACTCTATCTTACTATGAAAAAAATTTCTTGAAATGAGTTTAATATATTAATATTGCAAGAACTAGACTTAATATACCTGGTTCCTTCAAAGCCCGTACTCATTATTTTTTTCTTAATTTCTTACTTTACTTTCCTAACTTCTTTCTAACTTTAATTTATCTTTTTATCCTCTTAATGCTGTTTGGAATTACTGCAGTAGGTGTTCTTAAAGAGTTGGATTAAACCTATCTCAATGTAGGATGAAGTGTTTTTTTTAGCAGAATAACTTAAATAGACTACATTTGATAAACGTTAAATACAGAAAACTAAATCAAATGGTATTGTTATTAAATGTTTTTATATACAAGCAGCAGTACGTCTTGCAAAAAACCAGCTCACTTAAGCCCTCAACATGAACCCATTGTGATACCACTGATAGGTTATTGTGGTGACCTGTAGGGATCTGAACCTCCAACTTACAAGAAAGGCCGAATCTATGTCCCGTAACCACTCGTCAACTACGACGATCAGTTGTCACTCATCATCCCCAAAGATATTTTACATACCACTGATTTTGCATTGTCAAATTGCTGCAGTAGGAAGTTCTTTCGATTGAATAGATAATCATTTAATTGTATGTGAGTATTCATTAGTCCCTCCCTCAAATATAATAGATAAGTTTATACTTCTAGACAAACTTCTCATAACGCTATTTTTATTATTTAATAGTTTGTAGCTAATCTATGGCATGCAGCTCTTCATTTTATTTAATATTTTTTGCATTCTTCAATGAATGGTTTTTTGGAAATTATGGTTTTGAAAGGTAGTTTTGTTACACCTCAATTTAAATATCAATCAGTTAAACAATTAAAAAAATAAAAAAATTCATGTAACAAAAATGGTAATAAAGTGATTAGTAATGAAAACTAAATCATAAAACTGAAACAATAAGTAACGATTTGCTTCTTGTAGTTAACATGCGATTTTTGAATTGAAATGAAGTTTTAAAATTGCTTTTGTAATATATTTCAGTGAACGTGCCAACGCGACTGGAGCAACTGGTCAACGCCTGAAAGAAGGGGCTCACATTAATAAATCGCTCGTGACGCTGGGCAGTGTGATCTCAGCGTTAGCGGAGCAAACAGGCACAACAACGAGTTATGTGCTGAACACAACCACCGTATCGAAACGTATCCTTTATGTACCTTATCGTGATTCCATATTGACATGGCTGTTGAAGGACAGTCTAGGAGGCAATAGTAAAACGATTATGATAGCAGCACTATCGCCAGCAGATTGCAATTACAGCGAAACACTGAGTACGTTACGTTATGCCAATCGTGCCAAGAACATTATTAACAAACCGACAATCAATGAGGATGCAAATGTGAAACTTATACGAGAATTGCGTGAAGAGATCAATAAACTGAAGTCTATGTTAACTGGTGATATTGTAAGTGAAATAAATTTCAAAGTCTCTGCAATACATAAAATTGATTTTATTCCACACCATAGCATTCACTACAACCTTCGCTTAAGATGCTAGAAGATTTGCAAAAGAAAGAAGCACAAGAAAAAGTATTAACAGAAGAGTGGACGGAGAAGTGGAAAGAAGCTCAATCTATATTGCAAGAGCAAAAGAGTTTAGGTTTACGTAAGTCGGGAGTTGGCGTTGTGTTGGATTCCGAAATGCCACATCTGATAGGCATACATAATGATGTGACGACAGGAGTTACACTATATAGTTTAAAGGTATATTTTGTGTTTTTATTAGTGCTAACATAAATTATTGAACCACTTGTTTTTCGTGAATGCATTTAGGAAGGTGAAACTCTTATTGGCACTGATGATAGCGATATACCACAAGATATTGAATTGACTGGTGATGGAATACGACCACAACATTGTAGCATTGTGCTAAGAGATGGTGTAATTACTTTACATCCACGTTTAATGGCGCAATGTTGGTTGAATGCACGTCTTATAGATGAACCAACAAATATATCGCAGGGTGATATTATTTTATTGGGTCGTACCAATATATTTCGCTTTAATAATCCAGCTGAAGCGGCGAAATTACGTAAAGATCTTAGTCGTTCACAATTGGATATGTCGCGTTTATCACTGATAACTTCTTCGCGTGAAAATCTGCTCAGTTCGAGTTTTTATGCTGATGAAGATGCTTTGAGTACTAGCATGACTAGTACTCCACCAAAACGTGAAAGACAATATTATCCTACAAAACCAATGACGCGTGATGATCCCGAATTGCAAGATGAAAATCGAAAAATACTGGAAACTATTGAAAATGCGCTAAAGCAGTTGAATATTGTAAGTGCTTTTAATGAGTCTGTGATTATGTTATTTATATTTCTGTTGAAAATGCAAAATCCTTTAAAATATAATCTGCTAAAAATGCAAAATGGAGGCTTGTACATTTGCCTTAACCCTGTTGGTCTGATCATATATTTATCTATATTGTTGAAGATCTAAAAATATAACCGCATAAATAAGGTTTTAATTAAAAACTTATTTCACATAAATAATTTCTGAAGATGATTAGGAAATAAATATATATTCAAGCAGAGAATTTTTTTAAGTTCACCGAAACAATCTATTATATCTTTAAGAGCATAAAAAATTTTTAGCGTGGGGTTATATGGACACCTATAATATAAGGTTTTATTATTAATTCTGTAGACAAATATCGACCTGAAACTAAATTCATAAAATGTTGACAAGACACTGGATAATAAAGCGGGACGGAAGAAGTAATATGTAGTAATGTAAGAGCAAGGATGAGGAAGGTTTCTTTGTTGCTGTTGTTGTGGCCATATTCCACTAGTAAACCGTTTTTCAATGGGGGTAGGTTGGGAAAGTCATACGTAAGAATAAGGATGAGAAAATTGATAGGAATGCTGAATGAAACCTGGGTTTAGATGAAGGAATCTTGTCACTTCAACAAGCCCAAGCTATAAATTAATAGGACTCGAAATTATTTGCATATTTGGATATGAATGCAGATAGGCGACATTATGTAGAGTAGAGTTGTCATTGGGTCATGTGCTGGGAATAGACATATTTATGCTTGAGAAGGAACTGTTAAGCTAGTGGTTTTATTCTGACTTCAATTGAGCAAGGGCAGTTTTTGCTGTTCGAGTGAGACGCCTTACATACCTATTCATCAAACAACAGTGATCTCGAAGAGGAGAGGTTATTCTTTCGGTGTGGAGTATGAACAGCCCTTACCAATATTCGACCGTACTGATGTTATGTTATTTTAAAATCAAATTTGTCTATCTGGAATTGATATTCGTAGCGTACATACAAATATAAATATTAGTTTAGTTTTATTTTGAATATATTACTGGATTTTAGAAAAAACAGCTATATAAATATTAAATAGTGTATAAAATGTTGAAAAGTGTCTAGATAATATAATATATATATTTTACTTTCAGGAAAGAGTTCAGATGCATGATCAGTATAAAAATAAAGTGCAAAAACTGACTGATGAGCTAAAGCGCTTAGTCAAAGAAGAATCAGACTGTTTGGAAGTTCTACGTTGTAGAGAAAAGGAACTTTTGGCTCGAAAAGACATGTTATTATGGGAAAAGAATAACGAAAAAGTTCAGGTAATAATAAATATTTTTTGTAAATTATTTGCAGAATAAATGTACAGGCCACGAATGATGCGGACACTGTGGATAATAATCGATTACTGGAAGATATATATGGCCTCTTTAAATTTTTGCATGTTGCATTGTAGTCTTAAAGTTGTTCACATTAGTTTTAAGACAATGTAATGAAGAAGAACTTCTTACAATTATAAGTTAAACTTTAAGGTCAATGGTTTTAAATAGTGTTTCTTATTGTCATTGTTTTCTTTAAGCACGTATTACTTTGAAGCTGCGATAAGGGTTATCGCAGTTCAAATCTTTAATTGGAATGTAATTTCTTTGTTCTATGTTTATTGTTTATTGTTTACTGTTTACGTTATGTATATAAATTGCTTATTTTATTTAATGTTTTTATTTATTTGAATTGTGTTTATTTGTTTTCGTTTCGTTTTAGATTGATATCGTGTGTAGACAAATTTCAGCATTTCAAACACAGCTCGACTCAAAGAAACGTGATTTTTCTGAGTATGTAGCGAAAGAGTTGCAGGAATTGCAAGATTGTGGAAAGTTAGATGAGGTTTGTGTGCCGTTTAAAAAAAAAAGCATGTAGAAATGTTTAAATAGTTTGTTTGTAGTTTGAATAGTATTTGAAATGTATAGATAGAAATCTAAAAAATTCTATTCTCTAATAATTTTGTAAATTTTTTTTATAGCATGGCATTAAAATTGACGAAACAACTCCATTAAATGATGAATTATTGCTACAAGCATCAGACTCACTTGATCTATTTGCATCACAATATATTAAAGAAACCGTCAGACGTTATGTGAGTAAACTTGATTATTAATATTTTTTTATATAAATGAAATATATATTTTCTTTGCATATATTCCACAGAATGAAGAAATTCACAAACTCGATGATGAAATTGTTGAAAAGGAACGCATACTCAATGTAAGCACAAATAAAATAGCCCAAGTGGACGAAAAAATGTTGCAGATACAAGCACAATTGGAGCAATTACGTCTCGAACGTGACGAAAGAGAGGCAGAAGTACAACAGCTGCAGCTCAGAAAACAAAAGTAATGCTTTATTTAATAGTTCATATTTTTTTTTTTGCAAATTTAACATCTGTACAATTCTTTTCTCTTAAAGTTTAAAATTAAATTTGGTCAAGAGCACGACTACCACAACAACTATTGAATCTGATGCACAGACAGATACGGAGGCTTCAGTTTCAGATACGTACAAAACTTGTGATACTTTCCATACATCAAATTCGAGTTGTTCAATTGGTTCGGTCACACTAACTGGTGATCAAATATCACCTGTCAGCAATTGCTCTTCTACATCCTGTGAAGCAGATGATGACACAAATTCGACTGAGAAAGCTACGACCAGCACTTCTAGCTATAGCACTAGTGGCAACACACTTGGTAGCAGCGCAAGTACGCATACAAACAGTAACCTAACAGTCACAAATCCGGTTATGAGTGATAGTGGCGTCTGTTTGGAACCAAGTAAACCAGCACTACAAAATATCAACGGCAATGGTAATGGCAATGGCAATATTAATGGTTATTTGTCAAGTGATCTCGGCAATAATATAAATGCCACAAATATTCGTAATGTTATTAGTAGTGTTGTTTGTAGCAGTGGAGCACGTACTTCTGACGAAGAAACAGCTTCTTGTTCTTCATGTGAGCTTAGTCGTAATTCAGAGACCGGTTCGAGACCGTATTGCTCAATGCATACGTTACGACGAAAAATTGCTACACAAAAAGCTTTAATTATGAAAAATCTTGAAATGAATGTTAATAAATCTCAACTCGACGAGCAAATTGCAGAGCTACAAGAGCTGCAACGTTGCTATATCAAACTTGAAAAGGAATTACAGCTTTCAACTAATGAGGAACATGCTCAATGCTGTGCAAATGAGAACGATATTAATCACCATTCAAACTATGAAACGGCCCCATCTATAATGCATTCAAGTGTCATGAGCTCTATACCCATGGAAGATTCTATATACACAAATAGCATGACACGTTCCTGTCCATCTATGCGCGATTTTCGTAAGTTGACTTTTTGTATTATACGAGTATATAAAATAACTTACTTATCCCTTATCACTTATAATAATAATAATAATAATAATAATAATTTATTATTTAGCTGAAGGTACTGATCATTTCATTACCATACCCAGTTTTGTTATACGTGGCGCAGGCAAACAAACTCATTATGAATATGAAATACGCCTTGTTTTGCCAGATGGTAAACTAAACATATTACGACGTTATAGTCGTTTCAGGGAATTACATTTGAGCATGAAGCATTGCTATGGTGCAAAAGTATGTAAATAAAATTTTTAAAATATTTTCTTCTAATTAAAGCAATTGTGTCTTTGTTGCAGATTGGTGTCTTACCATTTCCACGACGTGAACTGTTTGCATCAAATAGTGAAGCTGTGGCTAAACATAGAAGACGTCTGTTAGAACTTTACCTTAGACGTTTGTTTGTTGTTTGCACAAAAATTCCGCAATGTCCTATATATGAGGGACCAGGAGGTCCAGGCTTGACGCGTGCCACTTTGGCACAATTGTCGCCTTTCTTTAAGAAAGGTTTGTTCGAGAACGGCAAGCACGGGACGGGATAATAGTTACTCTACTGCTGAATTATCTCCTGCCTACAGTGTGTCTTTTAATTTATATTTATTACATTCTAAGTTATGTGATTCAAGGAGTTAATGCTGACGGCTGCAGTTGATTGTTAATTAAATTAACAATTTACTCTCTGTTACGTACTTTGAGTTCTAATTATGCATATTTTATTAGAATTAGCATTTTAATTATAAAACACAATTCTTTAACATTTTATTCATATATACTTGTTTATATATTTCTGAGAAAGATATTTTATTTTTGATATTAGTATATTAGTATAATTAAAATATATAAAAATGTTTATTAACAATAATATATTCTATTTATTTTTTTAAAACTGATATATAAAGTTTGTTATTATGCACAATTGTATGACACAGTGTTAAACATATGGCCTTTAATTTAATATAAATAATGGTAAAATTATTTTAATACCAAATTATGTGTACATTTCATAACTGTTACTTTAATGTTCTAATGTTATCTTTTAACTATAAAGATATATTAAATTTTATGCCAGCTACATAAATATAGTTTATTATGTATGATGTAAAATGTGTATTATATACATTAAAATATTAATATACTATATTTTTATATTGTATTGCGATATTTTATTGCTGTATTATATTGCGATATTAATTTACTATATTATTTTGCGATATTATATTGCTATAATATATTGTCATAACATATTAATGTACTATATTCTGATACTATATTGTTATATTATATTGATATGCTATATTGTTATATACTACATATAATTTATACATATATAAACTATAAATATTGTTTTTTTGAATGAGCTATAAGTATAACGTTAAATATTATTTAAATCACTAGTATGTGTTTGTGAATAGGAATTTAATTGATTTGGTGTATAAAAGTTATTTAATATTTTTTGTCTATTTACTATAGTTTGTCTATTAATATTTTGACTATCTTGGATAGATTTTTCATTTACTTGTTTTTTTAACTGTTATAATGTAATAACATTGTTATAAATTTGTTTTTAGCTATATTAATTGAATTTTGTTTTATAACACATATTGCTTTAAATTTTTTTTCAATTTTCAAATCAAAGCTACAATGAAAAGCAAAATTTATTAAATTGCCTTACCTGAATAAAATATATGTTTATTTTAAGAAAAGTCATAAAGTTAGTAAACATATTACATATTACATTTCGTAAATTATTCCACATATAACTGTGATTTTATACTTGAATTAATATTTAACAATTAAATGATAAATCCCAAACATTTTTTTCAAATTAAAAGTAATGGAGACTTGATTATAAGTTAAATTTTGCATTATGCATGATTTATTAGAAATTTATTCTTTAATATGTTTATTAGTTGTAAATGATATAGCTAAATTTTAATATCAACATAAAAAGGAATATATGAATACTTTTTGATATATTTCAATTGAATTATTTCTTAAGTAAAAAATAATTAAGGTTTGAAATTAGATGATATTTAAAATCGTCGCAATAAATCAATTTAGTTATAGATATATTAATTAATAATACAAAATGCTTTACTCATGTCTTCATTACTCCGTTTTTATTTATATTTTTATCAATTTTTTTGAAAAGTGCAAATCATGAAAACAAAACATTTCAAAATTGTGCAAATATAATAGATATATATTTATCTACAATATATTGAATAAATAATGAGCTTATTAAAAATAAAGTATGTATGTATATAGAAATAAAGAAACTTATAAATTTATACTGAACTATTTATATAACTAAATAATTAATAGTTACTAGTTGTAGTTTTCTAATTAATATTAATATTAATATTATAATGACCACTGTTGAAAATATATAGTTAGTTAGGTAGGCAGATGTTTAGCAGTAGATATTAAATGTGACTAGTTGTAAGTATTTTGTTATATGTAATTAATTTAAATTTATTAATTTATGTTATATGAAAATATTGTAGTTCCATTTATATTTTCTTAAATTTGTGCAATCAGGCTTTATATAGCAATATATTGGCTATTCTTAGCGTATTACAATAAGTTTATTGATAATGTTGTTTAAAATTTAAGTAAAATTATTAATTTGTGAATTTGTTAATAATTATGTATAGATATATAACTGCAGTAATGTTTTGTAGCGAAATACAAAGGTACAATATGAAGAAACTTCCAGTAGCTCGACATTTGAAATCTCAATTAAAGTAAAAATTATAGTATTTTTTTTGATATTCTTATTATTAATATATATTATATTAAAATGTAAAATAATTTTATTTTGTTAATTGTTGGAAGTATATGGATAATGTTTATTTACAATAATATAATTATAGTTTTTTAATTATATATATTTACAAATCTAAGAAGCTCTATTAAACAAATTGTTAATAGAGGAAACAATAATAGCTTAAATATATAGCAATTATATATAATGATGTATAAGACAATTAGTGACTCACAAACTAGCGTTTAAGGCTAAGTTTACAAAAAAAAAAAATGAATATAGAATAAAATAAATTTTTTGTAGAAAAAAAGAAATTGGTTATTTTATTTGTTTGATGGAATTTTGCTCTTGATCCACTTACGTCTATGATTTTGGCGTTTATGGTTTTGCTGTTTTCTGAGAGTGGATTTTAAATGTGGCTCAACAGTACAAAGAAATTAACATCAATCAAGCTAGAATATTAAAATAAATATGTATGTATATATATATATACAATAAAAATTTTATTAATTATATTCATATATTTAGAGAAAAAATATTTACATTAATATAAAAATTAAAGATTATTTATTTTCGTATATGGTTTATTTGCTTAATATAATAAAGCAATTCGAGTCTCGAATTATATAGGTTCATATCTTAACTACACTGACAATATACTCTGATTGGCACACTTTACAACACTCAGATATTGTGTAGGAAGTCATTTTAATTAGTGTTGGAGTACAGTACTATTTATGCTAGGCGATACTAGATAGCGCAATGCATATTTTACTACTTGATATTATTTTTAAAATCAAATAATATTATTTTGTTTCAAAGCAACTTCCATTATATTGAAAAATACATTCGTATCAAGATTTTGAGAGAAAATTTGTGTTTGTATTTGTTTTTGTTAAAGAGAAATAGGTGATTGATTGAATAAGTGATACTGTATATACTTTCTTCTTCAGATACTTAAATACTAACTATAAGGTTATATATAGTGGAAATAGGACGTGATAGATGGATGATTCTAAGTCCCTCAATGTTCAGGAATTCAAAGTAGAGTTATTTTCTAACTGCTACCTAATAAATTGATATTTAAGTTACTCTTATGTACTTACTAGGAAAACATGTTGACTGTTGAAATAAGTCAAGATTGCTTGTCTGTGACAATATGGACCATCTCATTGTATAGATTAATATTCGCAAGAAGAAGAAGAACAATTTTTTGAGATGACGAATTATTTGAACTATCGAGGAAAAACAGAGATAATAGTATTTATATGTACTTATTTACATGATGGAATTGAGGAAATTATCTTTCTTTAAGTCAATTTCCTCTTTCAGGAATATGACAGACCAAGTTTTTACCACAATGTAAATGAGGATCTATAGTATCTGACTCAAAATAACTATGAATTATAATATAAGTAGTTGAGTAAATATTTTTTTGTGACACTATATTTCTTTAAGTGATTAAAGAAAAAATACATTACCGTTTACGTGCTGGGAAGATCTTTCTTAATAAATTAGTTAATGATTAATAAGTCAGGCATAATAATGTCCATGTGTGAGGCAGGATGAAATTTTACCTGCAGATTTTAGTCAAACTAAACTTTACCCGTTCTTTCATCAATAGGAGACAGTTCAATGGATGTCTATCTGTCGCAATTAGTCGAAGAATGATTGTGCATATATAATCAAAGACCCACATTGCCTTATAATTGGGCTATCCCAGTTATTACTATAAGGCTTTTTTCACTGGTCAAAGCAACGCACGTTTCTGAAATTCATATTTAAGTTTGACATTTTGGCATAAGAAAGGACATTTTAATAAGTAACTTAATTTTTCTGTTGGACAAGAGTATGTGGAGGAGTGGAACGGGTAGTGGGTCCTATGAGAACGAAATGTCCAAAATCTCCGAAGTTTATAAATTCGGTCCAGTACACTATGTTGTGATATTCACATAGATGATAAAAATTGCTTTTCCTAAATAGTTAAAATTCATTTGGCAGATTTGTACTATTTACACTTGGGTGATAATATAGAATCTGTATTCCGTACCGCACATATACTTCAACCTGCTTGGAGTTTAAGAATTAGTGAATTTAATGTGATTTTCAGGAAAATAGAGCCGAGCATACTTTAGTAGAAAGTATCTTTAGCTAATAATTATTACATTAGAAGAGACAATGGTAAGCTGCGATATATACTCCCACAGTGAGAGTCTTATAGTTAATGATGGCAGTTGATTGAAATTTATTGGAAGACAAATTAAGAATTTCGATAATTTATTCCAAAATTTCAAACGTTATCAATTTAAATGTCTCACAATTAGTGCAAATATCATCACAATGGGACGTTCTTGTTGTTGGAATTCAATAAAACAATTTAAATTAATTTTACAAGTGCAGTTGAAATAGCACACATGTGCTACATACACGTGCCAAATTAATGTAAGACGATATTAGCAAACAGCAATACAAATTGATTGAATCAAGTTTCGAGTGCAACAATGTTTGAATGAATAATAATACGAAAATTGACACTAATTAATTGAGAAAATGAGAACTACAGGATAAAATCTGCTAAGGACTCAAGTGTTTTAATTAAATATTGCATTATTAAGACGAAGCCGAAAGTTTGAAGATAACTAATCAAGCAACTAAATAAAACCAAGACAACTTCTTATCAAACTTTGTGCAACCAAACAGAATAGGGTTTTCATAGTAGAAATGAAGGAAGAGTAGCGATGAAGAGATGATGACACTCTTCTTTGCATAGAATTACAAAATTGTCAAATATTTGAAGTTTTGAGTAAATTTGCATAGCAGTGGTTCCAGCACTTTTTAATGCTGTTGTGATGACTTCTAGGA